CAGACAAAAATTACATACCGGGTAAAGTATAAAGTATGTATAAGTAAAACGAAAGTTTCGAGATTCTTTACATCACATATTATATATCACTAAGTAACGAAAAAATCGTCCATTAAATTTTCGCCAAACGCCGTCCGCATTTCAGGCCGTCGTGCGGCGGCTTCTCCTGATGCTGACACGACTTCGGACCGACATAACCTTAAAAAACGACACCTTTAGAACACTGCCGCGGGACGAACCGACACGACCTCTACAGTAAGGCGGAGAAACTACAGACTGTAAACAATCGGTGAGTCACCACGAAAAGGGAGGACAAGTGCCGGCCGCTTTTAAAAGATATATTGTATGTTTAGGTTATACATTTTGATTCATTTATTCTTTTTATTGTTTAGAAAAATATGCACAGCATTTGATACTGAAAAAATGACAAACTAAATGAAACAGTATTCGCTGCAACGTGGGAATAATGTCAGAATTTGTGTGCGAGATCAAAATATTTGTGTATATTTTTTTTAATATTTGTTTATGGATGATTTATGTACTGTATTTCATATTGTTTTGTATGTAATAATTACATAGCATTGCTAAATACTGTGATGCTCAGAACTGCTAAAAATCTGGATGATTTTTTTGAGGAATTACTATATTTTAAACATTAAAATAATACAAATTAAAACGTATTTTTAGATGGTTTTACGTGGTATTTTGCTTATTACTAAAAATAGAGGAATGCCGTTTTCGCGACACTCGCTACTTTTTCGAGAAACAAGAGGTGCTTTAAACAGAATTTTCATAGCCCTTTTGATTTTTGAGATACGGTTTCTTTTCGGAAGATTTGCATTTTGGGACATGGCTCGTCCCTCGGTTATTCAAAATCTTACTGGAAAAGTAAGAAGGTTTTATTGCCGTTTTTTAAGCAGATTTCAGTAGCACTTTAAAATCTTCAAATTATTTTCGAGAAATAAACCAACCTTATATTTTTGAAATTAATCACTCTGTATATTTTTGGATAATACAATTAAGTTTGTCAAGGGCATCTCAAAAGTATATAAAACTCTATGGTTGTTTTTAATATTAATCCGATTATGTTTTCAAAAAAATTCGCTTTCCTTAGTTGACCATGACAGTGTATGGTTCTCATTAAATTTTTCATATTGAACGACATATTATTTATTTTGAAAAAAAATCCGAATTCGGTAAGTCGGATGACCTTCGTTGTGACTCTTCATTGTCAACATTTTGCAAGCAGGTGCCGATGAATCTTATAAATGCAGAATGGGAAAAAGTAGCCAGCTGAACAAGTGTTTCTTCATGCAAAATATAGGGAAAAGTCTTAATTATTAAATCATTTGCAATTATTAAAGACAAAGTAAACATCAAAAATCAAAGTAATTATATATGTTTTCTAATAAAATCGATTTTGTAAAATTCCAAATGCCTTTGCGTATTATGTGTAATTTAAGGCATTTCCAAATCATTTTTGCACTATTTCAATGGAATCTATGTATTCAGCGTATTTTGAGTTCTAAAATGTGAAACAAAATTTTTGAATTGGCCTAAGTGGTTTAAAGATAGTGATAAGAGGTTTACAGGGTTTAAAGCCTTGTGTAATTTTTAATATAAATATTGGCGTGTTATGGGTGGGTAGAACACTATTTTTAATATGTGCTTCAAATTGTAAGTTAACATCTCGGGAGCTCTTGACACATTTTATGTCCACTGTATTCAGATTAAAAACGTTGTTTTCTTTTTTCATTTTAAATCAGCTTGTAAAGTCTGAGAGAAAAAACTTCTGCGTAAGTCCTATCTACATAAACGTAATATCGAACAGAGAAATACTAAAGCGAATCACTGGACTCTGAAAAAGACCAAATTCAATACTGCACACATTCGACTGTTGGTTATTGATAGCGACAAATTGAGTTCTAGTATTTTCATAGCTTTGGACCAAAGAGGGAGCCAAGCCTCAGAAAAGTCGGTGTACAAAGCCCAGGTGTCTTCCCCCATTTCAAAATATATTTTGTAGATAAGGAACCATAAGGAAACCATGTTGGTCAGTTTTGGTTATTTATGTTTCGTAAAAACGATGCCTAGTGTCGCTCCCTTAATATGATGACTCAGACTTTAGCATTGCGCGGCCTTATGATGTAGATGTTGGACGAACACATCAGAGCTCGTAATAAATAACGAAGAGGACGACCCTGACCTATCGGGCCGGGCAAAGAAACAAACGACAATCATCACGCGACGTCACTGACGAAGAAATCGACAGAGAAACATTGTACTTGCCACCTAATAATTCGAGCGATCGAGTATGGACGCTGCCGAAGAAGCGAACGACGCGAGCGACGTTGCCAGCGTGTTCGATTTGCAGCTGTGAGTGTTTAGGAAGGCCCGACACAACACCCGTTCACTAACTTCGCTGTATATAGTACTAAGACCGGGGTTTCTATAGAAGGGCCGCGCAAAGTAACGTCTCTTCTTATCTAGGACCACACAATACGTCGCAATTATTGCGGATAATCACTCGCATCTATTCGTTTAATGTCTACCGGCCGCTAACTGCTAAAAGAACGCGTCTATAACGAAATAGTTTGGCACACTTTCGTCCGCTGCTCTTTATTGTGTTATATACTAATTATTTTTTGTTTCCAATTGTATAAATTCGATATAATTAATTGGGTGCTATCCGTAAATGTTTTCGGGTGTTAAGGCGAACAGCGTGCAAACGCCGCGCGGAATGGAAGGGGACGGAATCGCAAGCATGACGTCACATCTAAAGTAATGAAACGTACTAAAGAAGGATTGTAATATTATCAACGACTTTCAATTTGTTTTACGTAATTTTTAAACTTAAAATAATTGCAAAATAAATAGGGGCGGGAGAATGTCCACATTTTATACCTCATTGTTGGGTAAGTTCCCGGAAAATTTTCATCAAAATAATACAAAACTTAACTTGAAAAATATTCAAAATTCATCTTTCTTTCAAAATTTACCTCACTACTTATCAATCATAGATAGCACATTTTCGTACATCGCAAATACAATTCGTTCTAACATATCCGAGTTTCATAAATATTGATATCAATTACGCCTCACAATTTGTGGCTCCACCTATATCGTAAACTTGAACTATCACAGAAGCAGAGTCAGAAATTCTGCGTTATCATGCCTTCTGTCCATAACTACATTTTTTATATAAAATGACATACGACACAAACTCAACCAAATATTTTAAGGTTTTATATATGTTATATTTTTTATTTTGTTTATGCATGAAGGAAACAGGCAAATTTTGAACTCTTCTGGACAGACGTAAATCAGTGATGATTTAAAATATTCATGGTTATGCCGCTCAATACTGCTTGTGGTTTATTACGTTATCAGGCAGGTCAAAAAGTAGCCGAAAGCTTCTTTTTTGTGCAATGAGAAACTTTGTTAAAGAACTTAACATAAAGAAGTTTTTATTTATCTTTTAGTTTGCCTTAACGTCGGAGTTTTGTAAGAAACTGCTTTACTAGCCGATAATGACTGGAATACTCCTGCGATGGTTGAATCGAATTTGCTGACGTTTCGCCAATCATTCTGTTGGCTTCTACTTAGCTTCACTGAGACTGGCTTGTATTCTATTCTGAACCTGCTTATATACTAATAGTGGGAGGCGGGGTTAAATGCGTGAAAGGTCAGTCATGCTTTTAAGATTGTCTGGTCGTTTAGAGTCGTTGTATCTCGATATATCCTTTGCCGCATATACATGGAATGTTACAAACAGAATTTTGTCTTTGATGAATCGAAGAGCGACTTTTGGACACGTGGTAATTATGGTTGTAACATATATTTCTTAAGAACTGTTGATATGTGGTCAGTGATGTTTTGAATGTACGGAAAGACAACAATGGAAAGTGTGGGGTTGCTTTCTTTGGGAAATTGTGGTCAAGTGTATTTTGTAATGGAACGCTTAATATGTGGAAATTTTACGGAACTGTAAACAACAATAGAGTTGATAACTGATGATTTCTGGGCGGGATGGTGATGTGACAATGCATTAAGGTGTCAATTTGTTTGCGTAGATTTTCTGTAAACTGAATGACCTAATGTCAGATCTGGTTTTATATTAACAAGTATATCTAAAAATTAGAGATTAATATTCGTTTTTAATTCAATGGTGAAACGTATGTATGCTCATAGAGTTTAAATGGTTCAGAAAAAATCGGAGGGATTCTTAACCACGAGCCTAAATATTAAAAGTATTAAAAACGTAGCGTCTCCATAGTTTTGGTTTAAGATGGAACGTGGGCTTCCTTTTCAAAAGTTTCCATAAATATATTTGCAATGGTTTATGATGATAGAGAACTCATAGCTTTTCCTGATATTTGTTCATAAATTTCACTGTTACTAGAAAAATATGTTTCAGACAAGCATTTTTCCAGATTTTAAAATACCTGAAATTATATTAAGAACTCTAGCAATAGGAAATTTAGTAAAGCGGGACTCTATGTCGAAACAAACCAGAAAATCGTTTGGATCTAATGTTTTTTGTTATTTAATGAACCGACGCAGGGGCATTCAGACAATTTTTAAATAGTATTACAGTAGCTTGTGGAAGATTCTTTGAAACGTTGATAATGACATTATTTTTGCACCATTTGGTTAATAAAAGAAACTAGGTGGCTTTTTATGAGAGAAAAAAAGATGTTTTCATAGCCTAAGACTTTATAATAAAGTTAAGAAGCTGAGCTTCAACTTCACCTTTTATAATTTTACATTGCAATAAAGTCATTATTATTATTAGTTCAGAACCCATAATTTCATTTCATTTTTCTGCTTTTTACACATGTCCTACCAGATCATATTTCCAAAGGCCTAGTTTTCCAATATGGTGACGATACAATAACCAGGGAAATGAAGGGCTTTAGGACGCTACCCTCCAGATTTTCGAATTCGATTTTTGTGAAAATTCAAAATTTTTCAAAAGGTAAAAAATAAGTAGCGCTCACCGACTAGTTCCGGATAGTCCTCGATTCCGGCGATGTTGACGTACTTCTTGTGGCTCGTCCTCGAATCCTCGCTTATCCGGCTCAACGGAGGCGGGTTCGGCGAGACCGCTGCGCCTTCTTCCGCGGCCACCGCCAAGTTTTGCTGCTGTTGACCGGGCACGGCCGCAGACGAATCCCTGTGGTGCTCGGGACTCTCCAATTTCCACTCGTTGTCCGTCGTCTCGTCGCTATTGTCGAAATACGACCGCCATTGGCTAGCGATCGTTAACGGCCCGCATCTTGTCACCTGTATACGTTACGCGTGTTCGAATCAAACTATTTAGCAGCCCCGCCCACTACCCCGAACCAACGCGGATGTCATCGCATCAATTAAATGTGCCTCGAACCAAAAAATCCATCAGGACAAAATCGGTTATACTCTTGAGGAGGATGTTTTTTTTTCTCTAAAAACCTATTCGTAGAGCCAAAAGTAAAACGGATGGACTTAACATTAGAGAACATTTTTTATGAAAATTTTAATAAAATTGCATACCGAAAATCATATAAAGATACAACTTTTACACATCCTTGTAAACATTTTCTTGTAAAAAGTTTTGTATCCTTATGTTTATATATTGCAATACGAATATAAATTTTAAGATAAAATTTGCTAAAGTCGAAATAAAATCGCAAATGAGAGAAGAGATATGAAATCCAAATCCGATAAAAATAAACGTTTTAAAAAATATATAAATATGTTTTTGGGTTAATTTTTTTCAAAATATTTTTGAAAATATTAAGAATAGGAAGAATACGAATTAACAGCGCTATGTTACAGTATATCATAGTACATGTATTAAATATTTGATTATTTTCTTTTTATTATTATTTATTTCACACCTCGAAAATTTTCTAATATTTTAAAAGTTTATTGAAATCGAGTGTTTAAGATAAATTTCAAGAAAAGCACTTTAGTAAAGAATTATATCTAGTCCATCTAAGTGGTTTAAGTGGTTATTAAATCTGCGAAAGTCAAATATAAAATTAAACATTTAAAAAATATATATAAATATGTTTTTAGTTAGTTTTTTAAATACGTTTTGTACAATATTAATAATAAGAATATTTATTTGTTTACTTCTTTTTTATTGATTATTTACTTCAGACCTCGAATCAGTGTAATACAAAATAGAGATTAAGATACAAAAGCATTACTTTGTTTTTCAAGTGTCAAGTGTTTTAGTTAGTTTTGTGCTTTTTATGTTCTTCGATATTTATTCGTTATGTTATTTCCTTTTATTATAGCGATAATCGCATAATATCTTTATTTAGTTTCCAACATTAGTTTTTATTAATTGATTTTAGCTTTTACTTTGTGTAAAATAATGCTAAGCAAACGTGGTTTTTATTCTCTTATTTTACAATCTTTGTATTTCTCTTTTGTCAATTTGCATAAGACGCCATCAAATACGCCATCTACCAGACCAGCAAAGGTATTATTACTTATGCTTGCCCTTCTTTTTACGCCCCAAATTTAAATAAGTAAAGTAAATAAAGTAAATAATTGTGATAAAAACTTTACAAGAAAACGTATGGTTTATCTTCTACCGAAAGTGAAATAATTATTACTTTTTTCACTTTTTTTTTAACCCAGCTCAAAAGAAAAGGAAAAAGTATTAGAGAGACTTAAGGATCCTGATCTACTACGGTTTTCGATATCCCCAAGCTATCCCATCCTTATATTGGACAGACCGTATACTAACTATTAATTTGTTTCTTAAGAGTATTTGAAATGTTTCGGGCAGCCTATTCTAAGTAAATAACATTTGTGCTACAAATCGTTTGGAAAAAGTCGCAAATAGCCTAAACTTCCGCCATTTTGATTTAAAAAAAAATTCTTGCAAATTTTCTAAAAAAAAATTATTAATTATCGTTGAAAAGGAAAAAAAAAAGTATGAAAAAAATGGTTGCAGAAATAAATGCGGATTTTCCCACGATTTTTTAATTCCACGTTTTTCAGGATCCATTGACTAAAAGTATTAATATATAGTCGGTACGATAGTCGCCAATAAAATGCCAGGCAGAATAAAATGGATTGCTCATCTTGTTTCCACTTATACTTCGACAAATGGTGTTTCGCCATAAATGTCTATTTAATCAATGCAAAACAGCCGTCACTAATGATCACGATTATTTTACTTGAGAGTAAGAGAGATTCTGTCTCTGTACTTGGCATTTATTAATTTAACTAGTACTCATATTCAGAGATGGTTTCAGGTATTTTCTATCGATATGCGAATATTTAAGTAGGTGAATCTACATGAAAAAACTATAATAAATTGTTAAATAAACTATTTTCGGAAAATTAAATAATATACATCACACCGTATAAAATATAATTAACCAAGGGTAAACAAACAAGTAAACCATATTTAGTTTGTATTTACAATGAAACATCTTCATCATCAGAGTCAAAATTGGAACTGCTGCCACTATATTATACAACTGATCCAATTTTTTTCTGCTAACTGTGTGGAGAGCTGCCTTTCATATAAGCAATATCATCGTGCCTTGCCTCACTTGCAATATTAAATTAAAACTTGATGACCCATTTCAGTCTGTAGCATACGGCTAGTTTGTTTTGTAATTTTTAACATGTTTAACAACCGACATTTTAGACCATTCTGTGAGTAATGCGTAGATGCATTTGGTACACCTTCACAAAGTCCAGAATGATGTCGTCCATTAACCATAATAATTACAGATGGCCCTTCGAGTATCGGGAGCAGCTTTTTAAAAACGCGACGCTGTTTTGTAGTGGAAATTACAGTAATTATCCACTGCCACACTGGCAGATAAATGTGTGGGTTTTGCCATTCTTAGCATACGAGTGAAAGCCAGTAAAATACTGAGGCACCTTCTTGGTTTTATGACGGACTATGCCATCGCAAATCGTACCGACTATGGTTTGAAAGAGGGAATAAGCGAAAGTACAACTTTTTAAAAATCAACTGAAAAAAATCTGTAACTGCAATTAAAGTAATATTGTCTGTTTCTACTCTAGTCCATATGGCGTTACTCTATATAGATTTTTAGGTTTTGCTTATCACCAGGTATTTTTTATAGGAGTCAGAAAACGCAGATAACTCGCAATAAAATAAAATCCACCTACACAAAGCGCCAAGTTTGACTTCTCTGAATATATTTTGAAACCTTGATTTTGATTTTTGTAGTCTGACACCCTTGTAACACCTTGAAACACCTGAGTCGAAGAGTTTCGTCGATCGAAATACGTCGCGGATTTTCCGCGTTGGTCTTTTTTTGCCCCGCCCCCATTACCTGTTGGCTGACGTTTTCGTCGTCCATGACCGCGAACTGGGTGACGCTTTGGTCGCGGGCGCCCCGCGAACTCCTCGCCGCGCTCGGCTGCCTCCTTCTCGGTCTCTCCTGTTCGGGAGTGGCCGGAGAATCGCCCAGACTCGCGCCCGTCCGCGGCGCGGACGCCGGTGTCGCGGCGGCGGAGGTGACGACCTTCAGACGACCGAGCGTCGCGGCGCCCGACTGCGATTTGCGCAGCGGCGTCGGTCGCGGCGCATCCGACGTCGATTTCGCCGACGCGACGGCCGCCTCGTTGTCCAGCCGGTCGGTGGGCGCCTGGTCCAAGTGCGACGTTGCACGTCGCTTTCGCGCTACAAATAATAATAATAATAATGAATGATAAATCAGTTTACAGGGTGCATACGATATTTAAGGGCAAAATTGATATTAAAATTTTTACATAACGTTAATTGACTCTTAGACTATATAAAATCCCCATTAGCGACAATAACGGACTCAATCCGAGATGGGAAAGAACTCTGGACAGATTACAAGTCTGTCCTTGTATACATATAATTTTTTTTTATTATTTTATTTTTGGTAATTTTCACAGAAACTTTTCTTATGTTTGGTCGGGTTTTTAACACAAATAATTTTGTGCATACCCATATATTACTTTCCACAATCCGGGTATAATATTTTTAAACAAATAAACATTTAAGTTGCTGGAAGTTTTTTACCGCGGTATGGCCGTTAAGGTTTTTTTTTGCGTCTAGCCGATCGGGAATTATTATCATTCCGTGTGCGGCTGTGGCGATATCTTTGCGCGTTTTCCGCGAATGGAACTTTAATCCTTAAGATTGTCGTTGTGCGTTTGTGTTGTCCGTGGCGTAACACCCGGTCAGTTCTGCGAATTGAGTAGCAGAACTTACACCAAAGAGGAAGCAGGCCTGCTGAGAAGACGGAGGCGTGCGCTTACGGTGAGACCTCAAACTTCTTTAGCGGCCCGTTTGGCGATCGGTCTTAATTCTAAATTCTTAAAGCCTACAGTCCACTTTAAAGCTCTTCCGAGCTCGCCGCCCATTTTCTTTTCGTATCGGTGGTAAGCAACCTCGAGTTTTACTCCGCGAAAAGAAATTAAACTGCATGCCAGAATCAAATGCTAGTTCTTCATGTTGATCATTGTGGTTGTTATAAGTCCTACAGCAATCAAATAGTATTATGGGAATGTATATTGGTGTCTCGCTCAACCGAGCCCCATGGGTAATAATCAAGGGGATTAAGATCCGGGGACCTAGGTGACCATAAGTTTGGGGTGATGTGGTCACACAAATTTTCGGCCATCCCATCTCTGATTCCGAGTTTGTGCCGACATAAACTGTCTTCTGCGCATAACGTGTGATTAGACCCTCCTGCACTTGTTGGAAAAATTGTGCAGTTGAGAAAACTGGAGATTTCTAAATCGGCGTGCTTCGCGCATATAGCAACGATCACTGCATGTCTCTGCATTTCTTGTGCATTTGCAGGGGTTCGAGAAACAAATTATTTCAGGAAATAAAACAAAAAACTTGTTCTCCATAAATTACAGCCACATATATGGATGTCTTCAAATACCGTACAACCCTGTACCTGCTTATATATTGTTTGAGGTGGGCGTACCTACAGGAGGAGCATAAACATTGTCTCGGATGACTGAAGAAATATAACGTCACAACCAGATACACCACTTGTTCAAAAATCTCTTAACATCTTACGATTTAAGACTACGGCAAATAAACTCATCAGCAATGGCCGAACTTGTACACGAAACAACGCATAAAATTGTATTGCATAAAACTGAAAGCCTTTAGTGTAATAAATTCTCCTACCAACGAAAAATCCAAGAATCTATATAAATCTATAAGCAAAGAAACAATCTTAACTGTGACTCAGGTCTTTATTTTTCACGGATATGGGAATCAGTCATTTTAGCTCCACCTCCCTCGAACAATATATAAACAGGTACAGAGTAAAATGCGAGACAGTTTTAGTTAAGCTCTGACGGATGATTGGCGAAACGTCAGCAAGTTCAATTCAAGAACAACCGACGCTAGAAGGATCCAGAAGTTTTATAAATAGCCCGTGGAAGTCTCTTTGAAGAATTAATGCATATATTTTTAAATTGGTAATTCTTTTATGGCATACACGATGTAATTATTTCGAGCAAAATGGATTTGACTATTTTGGTGGAATTTTGCTTTTAAAGATTATTTTTTAATTTTTGATACAGTAAACATATAATTTAGTTGAACTTTATATGCAAAGATGTTTTTAGAACGCATATAGTAACTTGTGGGTACCTATACAAGGAAAATCGATAATCCTAATACTAGAAACGAAACAAATGAGGATGTTTGTTTGAAGTGCAGAATAAAATCCAATCTATATTAATTATCTAAATTTATGTATTCTCTAAAACTAATTTCTGTGGAATTCTCTTACATTTTGGTAATATATTGAATAACAGTTTTTTTTAAACAAATTGTCCATTGCCATTTGTTATAATCATATTTTGAGGCGAACTTTCATCTGCAATTACTTGCCTTCTGTCTATAGAAGGTTCTACGATTGCTCCCTGGACATTTTTTCCACATAGGTTTATCCTGTGCAATAGATTAGTGCGATTAGACCTTTAAAAATAATCGTTCGTTTCGTTTAAACGTGTAAGTTTATAAAAACAAATGCTTTGCGTCTATTTACAAATGATATGATGATAGTATGCAATAATATTTACGTGAAAAAATACATGCACAAATACATGTAGAAATTGCATTGAATTTATATCTGCCGTTAATATACAAATACGGAATATAACCACTGAATTGCACGCTACGCTGTTAAATATCCTTTGATTTCTTGGACACTGGTTTTCTTGGAGCTCCACTTCCGTTTTTGGGATCTCGCGTTTTCGAGATGGTCAAATCCCAGTGACTTCCGTTATATGACAGTAATTCGAATTTTTCGTCAAATGAATACATGAGTCTTTTATCCATCTTTGAAAAATAATAATAGTAATAAGATAACTGTAATGATTAAACAAAAGGAGTGGCGTTGGCGTAATGCAATAATGATGCATGGCCAATTATATGACCTTTCATTTTCCAATTAAAAAACAAATTGGCACACTTTGGTATTAAACTTTTTTTTATCTAAAATGTAAACTAAAAAAAGTTCGAGTGGAGTAACATTTATAATGGATCGCTCCTGCACATCAAATATTGTTTTGCCGAATATTAGTTCGGCCACCTTGAAGGCAATTATAGCGATTCTGGAAAAGGTTATTTCCTGTATGCTGTTGGATCAAACTTTTTTAAATCTTACCTTAACAACAGACAACAAATCATTACGTTACCTAACGGCGACAATTTGTTTCGCTTGGGGTGCCACAAGGCTCAATACTGGGTCGAATTCTTTTCCTAATATAACGACTTACCCGCGAATATAAGGTCACATATAGTTTCTTTATATGCAGATGACACAACAATACTTAATTTGAGAGTGGTTTCGTTCAAATCGTCTTAAATTCAATGAAAATAAATCAGAGGTTGTCTTTTTTTCAGGCGTACCTGACGTTAGCTCTCACAACTTCTCGGTGTGTACAGAAATAGCAGACTTAACTAGCACATGCATATAGATATGCTGGCCGAGAGATTAAACAAAGTTATATTTCAGATTCGAAAACTTATTCAACATAAAACTGTTAAGACGGCTTTAACTTTTAACTTTAGTAAATTTATTATCAGAGGCAGATAGAATCTTTAAAATTAAAAAAAAGATTGTTCGAACTTTATGTGGTACACTGTAAGCCACTATTTATAAAAATGAAAATATTAACTCTACCTTCAATTTTCATCTATCAGTGCATAATGTATGTTCACGAAAACCACCATTGTGTAAACAAAACTCAATAGTCCATTAACTTATAACTGTATAACAAAATACCAGCAACTCTCAAAAACCCGATTTAATTAAAAAAAAAAACTATTAAACACATTTTAACACAACAATGCTATTATGACTACAACGATTTTTTTGAATGCAACTTTCAAAGCTACATGACCTGTGAATTTTAGATTGTTTGTGCGTAAACTGTTTGTTATATACATTGTATGTTTACTTCAAAAACTCATACTGACAACTTTAAATGTATTGTTTAAACATGTTTGGTCAATAAATTATTTTATTTTATTATCGCGGTACTTTTTGACAGACTGACTGACACGAGATGTCTGACATAGTATTCTGTCAAACACCCGAGGAGATCGCAATTAAGCAAAATGCTTGCCATCAGCGACATACACGTAAAATTCCCATTTAGCCCGAGAGCTGGAAAAATTAATATTGAGACAGAGGAGTGGTGGACCCAGCATCGGGCGCGGGGGAAACCACGAACGACACTTTTTAGACCTGATCTCCCTCGACAAATCGACTTACCAATTTGTTCGGTGGCTGTGGCGTTGCAGTTCTTGTCAACGGTTGGTTTGGGCGCGTTCGTGTGGGTGTCGGTGGCGAGGGGAGCGGTGTTTTCCGTCTCGATGCGCCGCTTGGCGTCTATTTGCGCCTGGAAACGTTTTGCGTTATACCAAGGGTAACAGTCGGTAAGCGGAATCGGTACAGTATTCGAATTTGAGTCGAAAAATTTTGGACATTTGTAACCCTCAACTACTATTTGTAGATTTGACTTAACAAGACGAAATAACAACCATAAACGTTTGGTAGGATTTCGAAATCTCCAAGGAAGAAAATTGGTGCTTAATTTGGTAAGCCATCTTGAAGAATGAAAAAGTTATGTGACCAGAAGTCAGCCAGCTGCTAAGGCCGAAAAATGTGTGAACTCGAAAGTTGCTCTGTTTACAAAATAAGCAATGTTAAAGAAAAACAAAGTTTTGTTTGTTATTCATAAATTACTTGGTAATTTTTTTTGTTATTCATTATACACCATTTTTTCAATTTCTTGGATAAGGAATCAAAATATGAATGTCACGAGAATAACCAAAATTCCAAGAAACGCCACTGGATTTGAAGGCCGCTATAATAATAAGAATAAGAATAATAAAGTTATCTTCGAAAAAAATAGTGTTTCAATTAATTTAATTTAGACATAAACAAAAAAAAGATAAGATAAGATCTTAAAATTAAGTGGGACTTTAATTTTTCGAAAACGGCTGGAAGACAGCCTGTAGAGTACCTCAATTAAACTAGATTATTACTAATACATATCTCGTCGTACGAATGAATTTCTGAATTATAATTTTAAATTCAGCTACGTAAATAATATTTTTGTCTTGTTTCTTTCACGTCTATTTTGTTAAATTGTAGCAATTCTTACTTTGTTTACATTTTTTAAACATAAAGAATATTTAGCTTTCATTTTCTTTACCGGCTTGATACACCCGACCCGACCGTTTCGCATAAACAGTAAAAAAAATCAACTCTGGTACATTGGAACTACTCCTGTCCGAAGACCAGTTTGACACATAATGAATAACCCACAAATCAACCAGCTTAAAATTTCAGTACATTTAAAATACTCCCGTTCAATTGGCTCGATTCGAAAGAAAATTTGTATAATCGATTTGCGAACATTTTTTAAAGAAAAAGGACAGTTGCCTTTTTTCTGGAACACCAACTCTTTATCTTTTAAATTTGCTAGAGGGATAGTACCTAAAGTAAACTAGATAGCTAATAGTAGACATTGCTCCCTATAGGGTCTGAATTTTTGAATTATGATTTTAAATGAAAGCAGGTTAAATAACATTTTTGTCTTGTTTTTGTTTTATGTCTGTTTGGTTAAACAGTGAACAGCGAAAAAATTAGGTCAAAGGCTCGGTACACTTGAACTACTCCTGTCGGACCAACCGCTTAAAATCTTGGTACATTTGGGCTACTCTGGTTCGGCTGGCCCGTTTCGGAAATAAATTTGTATTGACGATTTACGAACATTTTCAAAGAAAAAAAAAGGACAGTTGCCTTTTTCCATTTTCATTTTAAATTAAGTTAAGACTTTTCATTTGTTAAATTATATTTTTGTCTTATTTCATTGATGTCTGTTTTGGTCAAATTTCGCAATTCTTAATATATTTTTTTTAAACAAAAAATATTAGTGCACTTCACTTTATTTAAAAGTTTGGTATTTTTGAATTCCTCTTGTTACACCCGCCCGCTTCAAAATCAAACTTTTATCGTCAATTTGCCATGACTTTTTAAATAAAAGAAAAGGACTGTTGCCCCTTTTCTGCAACCTTACCTCTTTGTTATCAGCAGGCTCTATATTTTCTTGATTATTATCTGTCGTGGTGACGTGTTTCGTGTGGCGTGGAAGTGTCGTAGGCGCCGTCGGCAGTTGTGCCTGAGCCGTTTGGCTCACAGGCTGAGTATCACCAGTAGGTTTCTCCCAATCGTAGGGATCCGATTCTTTCACACCCCTACGTTTCATGCACCGCTCAAACAACGAGATCAACATCTGTAAAACATATTTTTGTCAGTTGCCAACAGTGCACAACCTAGGTAGACGTACCTGATAGTCGGGCTTGTCCGCATACTCCAAGCTTTGGATGTGGTCGAGGAACTGCTTTAAGTCCGACGGGAGGTGCTTCAGGAGCAGCCTGTGATCGTACTTCTCCTTCATCAAACCCACTTGTTCTTTATCTTTCACTTTCCTCCAGGGCAGCTGCCCATTAACAAACTCGACCAGCATGTAAAAAAGGCTCCACAGATCGTCGTGTCTGCCCATTTCTACAAACCACCACCTTTAGCCGATATCAACTTTGAAAAACAAATGTTAAACCTCGATTCTTATGAGCGTTGATGCTGGCGTATCGAACGGTACCTCTGAAACCGGCAGCGGCCCTGGGCGCCCTGACTTCCCCGGTCGCAGTGGTGTATTGCCTAGCCAACCCGAAATCCAGCATGTACACCTTACGACAATTGTACGGCAGCCGACCCATGGAAAAATTGCTCTGAAATCATTGGCTTTACAATTCAACCCGGTCGCCACAACAAGCACTTACTGGTTTGATATCACGATGCAGAAACCCCACAGAATGTATGCTTTCAATGGCTCGTAAAATCTGCAGGCCTAAACGGAGTGTGGTCGATAAACTGAAAGCGGCCCGCGGTTGCGCCCGCCTCAATTCGGCCAAGTTACGCCCCTGAAGCTGCATTACTACGTAATTAAAACGATCGTTTCTACCACAGCCAATAAATCTGCAAAAAGATTGGTTAATAAAGTACTATTGACATGAGAATAGCCGAATTCAAATCAACCTGCAAATATGTTCTTTGCCTTGCAGTTTTTTAAGCACAGCCACCTCCATTTTCAACACCTGCTTCGGTTGCCTCGCACTCTCCACTTTCAGAGCCACCTGTTCTCTCGTTATCAGGTCCAGCCCCTCGTAGATCTCCCCGAAACCTCCCCCGCCTATTTTTTTAACCACCTAAAAAGGGTTTATTTGTAAACACACTTTAAAAAAACAATTCGACAACAAAACCAGACTTACCTTCCACCGTTCTTTAACTACATGGCCCGGCTGCAGCAGATCTTCCGATGTCATGGTTATATTGTTGTTTTGATCAGTGGAGTCCAAGTGGTTCTCCCAGCTTAGATTTTTCGGCCTGAAAAGAGGAGCGCGCTCCCGTCAGACATTTGGGTTGCGAATTTCCACACATTTTCGGAAAATCATTAAGTGATCGAATTTCATTCTTTCGCAGGCGGCCAGCCATTCATGTGTGTATCACAGGCTGCCTACTTTCATGGGAGTTACCGTGCATTGTTGCCAAACGTCAACCGAAAAGCGTCGCAGGTGCGTGTAACAAGGAAAGCCGAACTCTCGACAGAAATAATAAGTCTACAGTTAAAATCTTGTAGTTTATTTATGTTTACCAGATCGTTGTGGCTCCGAAAGAATAAGATCTGCGCAAATATTGTCTGCCAAAGGTAATTTCGTTAACGTTCAAACGGCAGAATACTAGGAAATTTTTGATAACAGTGCCAACAACGCAAAGACTCTCAGCTGATCGAAGCATGCGCGTGCGCGCGAGTTCCAAAAAACGGCTGCTGCCTCCTACGATAAATATGTTACGCCCGGACTTTATTGATTTTTTGAATTAACGTCTGGAAGAAACAACCCTCAAGAGCGTCAGACGGCAAGCACAGATCGAAATTTACGATTACATTGCGTGCTACATCGCCGTTTTACCTGACAAGCAGTTTTTAATGCGAATTATTTGTATTCGAACATAAAAAAAATTGGCGATTCTTTAGCGGGGACCCAAGCTAGTTTTGCAATAAAAACTTGATACGACAATAACCCAAAATAACGCTATTTGGGATAATTTAGGAGTCTAGGAATATATTTAGGCCAAAAATAAACAGTTTAAATTTAGATTCGTGTAGTCACAGGTGGACAGGTGCACCTTAATTCAAACTTTTTTTCCATCGGGGCAATAGCTCTCGCGGCTTAATCATTCAGCGAATAAGAGCCCCGAAGCGTATCGGGTCGTTCCGAAAGCTTAGCGACAGAATAGAGGGCATGCGAACACAAAAGCCAGCGCAAAAAATACTTGCTTGACATTTAGCGGTCGTTCGGAGTTAAAACGTCGTGCGGCACGCGAAAACGATGGTTGATTATTTAATCGGTTGCCCGAAATGCGAATTACTCAACCGGTTCATTTTCGATCAACTGAAAGCGAGTTATTTGACATTTCTTACGGCTGGCTGAAGTTTTGATCGATACCGCCGCCATTTTTCCCCAACTGCCTTGAAATTTGGCGCGGAACCAATTCGACCGCACCGATTTGAATCGAAAAGTGACTTTTCCTCGATATCAAGGTTTGTTTTAAAAAATGTTGCGTTTTTGACAGGAATTTTGACAAACAAAACGTGAAAACGTTTTAGTTGACTTCTATCCGCAGATTTCGATATCGGTGGTCTGTGGAAAATTTCGTTGGTTACCACAGAACAGTAATCGGTCGCTACCTGTGAGCGGCAAGTTTAAAAACTCAATCCCATAACAATTTATTATTATAACCTATTTTTAATCTACGAAGGAATTCTTAATTGTTGCTCAAGACTGCTCTGGTAGTTATATTAGGATTCTTGCATAATGACGGTTACCATTTCCGCGCTCTTTTTAGTGGAATTGTTTGAACTCCGGCGTTTTTTTCAGATATATCTAATTACAATTTTAAGAAATCATTGCATTTTTAATCAGATTACGTAGTATGTCACACTTGTTGCTTGATAGGTATATTTGAAAGTTGCTTATGCGTACGTTGTTGTTGTTACCGCAAAATTTGGTTATGAATACTTTATTTTTATGAGCATTGTTTTCAAGCTTCGGCTTTTGCCAAAAGCAAATATATCAAAATTGCAGCTATTTTTGTATCGAAAACGCTAAATATAGCGTCTTCCAGTCTATTTGCGCAACTTTACGAGATGTTCGCCCGCGTAAATTCCGAGAGGTCGATAAATCGATTAGTGAAATTGGTTATTTTTGATTGGACAATAGGTTGTCGGTGGTTTGCTTATATGGGATATACGCAGTGAATACTCATTCCGGTCACAAAAAAAATATAGTTTATGATTAAATTTCTAATATTTTCTATTGAATCGAAGAATCAAAACCAGTTACGTTGTCACGTAAGTTGTAAGACAGAAGCGAAAAGCACCTTGCGATTATTTTGAAGGTCTGTGGAGGAGAGACGCTTTAACGTCAGCTCTGTGGTTTACGATGCGAACAATGTTTAGCGCGGAAGTTGAAATTTGACCCGTTTTCTTTGAAATTGAGACGTAAATATACCTGAAACATTATTTTTAAACTTCAAGTCGGACTAATTAGAGCAAGCGAGGTTGAATAGACGTTATGTAGGATAAACACAATTTCGTGGAAAAGTGAAGGTCCGACGGCGAAACAAAAACAACTCGAAATACGTGTGTTCGCGTCGAGAAGAAGAGTTTATTTTCCTCTATGCGATGCTACGTCGCTGGTTCCGTCGATGAAGGTTCATTTTATGCGATGTGTCAAGCGGAAAGTGTACACGGCCTTGCGCTCGGATTCTAAATAGAAAAGCCCAATGAAAGTGACAAAAATATAACACCGGCAATCAATATCTCACAAAAATCGGCTTTAAACTAAAGTAACAATTTGTCAAAGTGACGTCACGAGGGCACGGGAAAACATTCTCCTGATTTATAGGTAAATGTCGGAAAGCAATGCGAGAAAGTTTGCGTGCCAAATCTCTCGCGCTTGCATTCTTATACTTTTTTTTTTCATGTAATACTTTTAGAGGTTAGGTCGCAATTGGTGGTCCCTGTCTAGCCACATAAATCATTACAGGCAGCACCCTAAGGCGGAGAAACGACACACTCTGAACAATAGATGAGTCATCACGAAAAGGACACGTCGCTTTTAAGGTTATGAATTCGGTTATACGTTTTGATTGGGGTTATTTTAATTGTACTTGTTACTGAAAAAATGACAAAAGCAGCAGTATTCGTGAACAGTTTAGCCATTGTTACCAGTACTTCAGAATTAGTGTGAGAAAATATTTGTGTTATTCTTTCTTAATGTTTCTTTTATAGGACGATGTTTTGTGTGTGTTTATTGTGTGCGAGATAATATGTAATTATTTAATCTAGAGATTGTGTATTTAAAAATTATAAAGCTTTGTATTTCCTGTGTTACTATCTTTATTTAATATAATTATGATATACAAGGATGGAATGGATCAAAAGTACATATTTATCATTCCCAAAAGCGGAGCTCTTGTCGAAAAAATTGATTTAAGCAATAAAAAGAGAAGATTTATTTGTTCCAACACAAAACATAAAGGTGAGTCTTACTAAAATAGTTTGATTTTGAATGTAGTTTTGAAACCTTTGAAAATATTGCACTGATACCTGCGCTGTTGAATCAACAGGAGAAGTACTAACGCCAAGTTAAAAATGCCTCGTTTGTTTAACGTTTGTTTTTATTTATTATTATTTTAACCAGTCTTAATAACACAATCTCGACTGTAGTTGCAATACCTTCCACTTTGGTTGGTTGGCTACCCGAATTATTTATCCAAGCCTGAACATAGTTACAGAACAACAAAGAAAGGAATTTTTAAAATACCTGCATTAATTTCTAGATTATTCTTACCTATTATGCATATTTGTACTATATTTTAAACATTAAAATAATTTGAAGCAATTAAAATGTATTTTTATCCTTTTTTACTTATATTTCATATTATTAACGCCATGCAACCAGATATATTGCTTCCTTAATAGTACTTAATAGTACGATCATATATCTACTAGAGATATAGAGGACCTATGGACTAATGCAGGAACTTACAACCGAATTAACTGGGAAAAAAATAGGCTGAAATTGACAGCTATTGAAATTGAAACGCATGCGTCGAGCCAGTGCAGCGGGGAGTGGGAAGTACTTTGGGGTTATCTGTGATAGCGGTGACGTGTTGATAATTCGATGGCGACGTATGATCGACCTGTCATGAGAGTGAGACCGGAATAAAAATCGTGTTGAAAAGTGATTGATTAAAAATATATGTTTAGGTAAATACTTTACGTACGAACTCGCACGCGTTGGGTATAAAGCGGATTAAAAATAGAGGCCGCGGCGCCTGCATCGAACAAGTGTCTGCCTGGGTAGTCTACCGAGAATTCTATTAAAAAAAATAGATTGCTTTAGAGTGTTGTCGAAAAAAATTGGCCCGGCTGCTAAAACCGAAATTCCCTGAGAAAATTGTTTTTTTTTTATTTACTCCTCTGGAAGTGTTAAATTGACTCACGAATTAAACATAATTAAAGTATGTGGCTGTGTATTATCCACAAGTCTCATTTCGTATAAAACTTACGTAGTGCCTTAATAAATTACACAAAATTTTAAGTGCCTTTAGCTTACCATTTCATCTCCGGGCCTCGAATCTTAAACGTCCAAGTCAAAACCAAAAACACAGCGAATAATCCGACTATTATCGACACTTTACACAGCGCCGGACCTGTCCGAAATTTGAATTAGCGTCCATTCATTTGGTTGTCTCGATGGATCCAGACCCGGCGTCTATCGTAAACTTTTAAACCCAGCGAAACGATTGGCGTTGCCAGAATGATTTTAAAGTACTCTGAAGTTACCTATAGTCTAGGTAAACCTGTCCCCTACCACATTATCGTGTGTATTTTTAGTTTTTCCGTCGATTTCCGTGGAAAACGCACATTTGCGCGTCTTCGCTGGAAACCTCAGCTGGCTTTGTTTACACCCCGGCGATTATATCTGCGAGCTCTTTCGATTGATTCGCCGATAAATAACACTATTTATTTATATACGCGCCGCTATGTTCGTCCGGCACCGTCGGCTACGTCATAGAAGCACGGACCGCCGAAAAGCGTCCGCGCTATCGGGCGACCTTTCGTCACCGATAAGCGACGTGACAAGTGGGTAACTGGATCGGTTGACGTTTCCAGAAAACCGTGTTAATGAATATTTTCGAAGCAATTTAAATATAATTAACTTCGCTCGTCAGGTGCGCCTTGGCCTAGTTTTTCCTGGACGCGTCGAGGTGATTTTTTTTTGTTTTGGTTTGCGTAGGGAAACGAAAAGAAACCTTTTCTCGGAAAATAGTCGCCGACTTCTGCTTCTCGCAACTGGTGAATTTTGATCAGAGTAAAAACCAGACGGTAATAATTTCGCGTTTTAATTATCTCTCGCGGGCTTCATCGCGACTTTCACGAACCCGTTGAAAAAATAAACCAATCGGCATACTAAGTAACGTGTGATAAACGTTTTTTTTAAGCTCCAAACAGTCGAAATCTGTAAACACGCGCCAAGTACTCTGTAGGAGAATTACGTTTCGAGATAGGACCAAGTGTCCTTAATTGACCACCCGGCATCTATAATAGAAATATAGAAAAAATAGATGAAATATGACGTGTAGCTGTTTGCGGCGACAGAAGAATAAAGGCATTAAAACCGGGAAAATTTCATTTTTTCCATTGTCTAAAGAAAAAGAACTTCGACAAATCTGGATAGTCCAAGTGTTTTCTTTGTTTTTAACATTTTACAAGATTTTGAACGCGAGAAGGGTCATGCAACCTTAATTTGAGTGGGAGGAAAAACAAAATCATTGAACAGAAGTTTTGACATATTTAATAATAATCACTCAATTAAAAAGGGTTCTAAAATAACAAAAATCAGTCAATCAAATAGTTGCTAAAACACAAGTTATTGATTTTGAACGGGGAGGAGAGACTCGTGTAACCTTCATTTGAGGGAGAGGAAACGCAATATTATCGAACAGAAGTTTTTAAAATTTCATAAAAATCAATTAATCAAAAATAACACAAGTTTTATATTTTGAATGGGAGAATTTATGCATTTGAGTGGGAGAAAAAAGCAAAATTATAGAACGGAAGTTTTGACACGTTTAACAAAAATGAATCGATCAAAAAGGGTGCTAAAATAACGCAAGTTATTGGACATTTTAAAGAAGACACCCTGCTGTTGAAATGAGACCTGCTCGATGATTTTTGTAATAACGGTTATCTACATGGATTAAGTATTTAAACGAAAACCCGAAGAAAACTTGTTTAAAAATTAAAGAAAAGTCTGCAGTAATAAATACATACTTAATAGTGTTATCAATAAGCAAAAATGTTTTTCATTACTTTTACTTGCATTTTTTCATTATTTTGAAAATAAAAAATTAATGCAAGATATATTTTAGCTAGGTAAGGTTTGGAACTACTATGAGCTGATATTTTGTATCTGAAAATATCATCGGAAGCAATTACACGAATCAAAAATTAATCATAATTAAACTAAACGTATAATTATTGTTGGGGCTGCTCAATTGGGCACTTCTTAATTGACTAGTCAAATTCGATTAAAATGTTTTAAATAACATCTTGCAATTGCAGAGTTTTATTTATCGTTATTTAATAATATGTATTTTATAAAAAAATATACGTTTGTGATGTCCAATTTACCTATAACCCTCTTCAAGGAATAACGGCGATTCAGGGAATGCTAATAAAAATATGAAATCTATTTAGTCCTCAGAACGCACAGTACTAATAAATAAAAATGTCGTTTTTTTTTAAATTATTTCTGTCAATTGACACAAAAAAATCGACCGATCAATTTCACAATGCTACGTGTAATTAATAATTTGGATATTATGAAGACTAGGAGAAAGAATTAAATCTTTATATATATATGTGTGATGAACAGCCCTCTAGGTATAAAAAGATTTGAAAGAATGAAAACGTTCGCCGAGTGACATCACCCACTAGTAATTGTGGATTGAGATGAGCGGAATCGCAAAGCAACCTATTCTGTATACGAAATTTGCCAAAAAGTAAAGTTTATAAGGAGGCAATATGAAAGTTTCGGGCACTTTTTACAACAATTATGGAAGGGCAACAAGCAGAATCAACTCTATTACTATAATTAAATGAACAATTGAGAGAGCATCATTTTACGGTAGAACCTCCTATTTAATAATTGTGTTCAATGCGATACTTGAAGTGTCGTGGGCGTCCTCAAGGAGCAGAATTAGTTGAAGGGTTAAGATAATACTTTTCATGTCATATATACACGGTATGTACAATTGCAAATTTTTACACAAAAAACTATTATAAAGGCAAATATTTTATATAGGCCGCATTTTTGACACATTGTGGCCTATTGCCAGAGTGGCTAAAAGTGACTATAGTGTACCCCGGATGAAATAAAACAAGATTTTATAATAAAACTCACTTAAATTTATTGATAACCTACGTTGTTACATTGATCCTAAGAGCGAATTGTAACAGCTTCATCATATTTAACTTAATAATGAAAAAGGACAAATTGAAATGAAACTTTCGAGAAACGCAAAAAAGAAAAACCGTTTTGTAATTCACAATAACTTCGCAACGCCACTGACGAAACGTAGAAAAATATTCTTACACTTTGCACACGCATACGGACAAGGAGAACGCAAGGTAATACGTAATACATTTCGGTACGATACGTTACAAAATGTTCGCGGTCTACCGGGACCTTTTCGGGAAACACTCGAAATCATGAAAAAGAAGTTTTTTTCACATAAAACCCCAAAAAAAAGTATCTCGCCAAAATCGAAGAACGCATAACCTTAAAAGGAAAACGGAAAGCTACAACACGCTGCAGGTCACACGATTATGTGCAAAAAGTAAGAGCGACGATTCCTTGCGGAACAAAATTATAACCGTGGGTTCTCCCGTAAGGTCACGCCTGTCAGTTCGGGCTTAATTTTCGTTGAAGTAAATGGATACTGACGGCATACAGTGCCCTCAAAACATATTATTAAACATTAATCATAAAATAACAATTTCCTATGAAAAATTCACCCAAGTCTCTTTCCAACTTTCGTGTCCCAGACCAACTATACGGTGCGGCTGCATGAAAGCAACCTATAAAATTACCGGCCGATTTCAATTAGGTTGGTACCACATTTAGGAACTTCCGTTTGTATTTAGCGGTAGGTAAAAGTAGGTTATGTTATTATCCACTGAACTCTACAAGGTGTTTTGTTATAACGTTACAGATTACTCCTGGGGAATAGAAGCTGAAAACCGGGACTAAAGTTGGAAGAGAAACTGCGAATTTACCGATAGTCAGTAAATTTAGGAACTGTCGGGACATAACCTCACCGGAGTCCGCGAAAAACTTTCACGATGCATCAAAGAGATCTCGATTCGGCAATAGCGGACATGAAAATAGAGGGCACACACGTCCAGAGGACCAGCTTCCAAACACAATTTGCAATAATCCCGGGATTGGTTAAGTTACCAAGAAAAAAAAACACATAAATAAATATTGACGTTAATATCGCGAGCTGGAGGGGGAAACCAGCCTCTTCGCCCCCTGGCGATTGTTTTTTTATGTTAAATTTGTTTTTAATTATTACGCGTTTTTTGTTGTTTTCTGTCGGTTTATTGTTATATAAACGATTTAGTTCTACTAACACTCCTCCTGCTCTTGTGATTTCCTAACGCATCTGGCGACCTTTCGTTTAAATTCTGCATACGACTCCCTCCACTCTTTCTGGAAAGGAAAGTCACCGCGTATAAGCATAGGAACATATTTCAGGGTGTTTTCACACTAGCGTCTAGCAAGCCCGCTGCTGAACTTGGTTCCCGAAGTGAAATCATCTGTGGTAATCACTAACATGTGCCTGAATCAAGCTTGTCAGTAACTTAACTTTGCTTATTTCATGTTTTCAGTTATACTTTTCGTTCTTAAGAATATTGTTTCCATTAGTACAGATCATAAATACAAGACACACATTAAAGCTACTTAGCTAATCATTACACAAAAAACACAAGAACAATGATCGTGTGAATACTTTGCACCCATCAACCATCAAATATAAAGGGAGAAGCAAAATTTTACAATTTTCAAAGCATTACTGAAAGAGTGGATATTTGCAAGCGGTAGACAAGTGTTTTATAATCTGATCAACCTCAATTATCACAGATAGATTAGTACGCTACATCTTCATTCGAAATACTTTTTGATGATAGACATTTTTGAATTGATTTTGACTATTGAACTGCTTACCATAGTTATATTTTCAGGACTTATTTTAATTATGTCTAACCTTGACTGTTCTTATAGTTATTAGTGACAACAAACTCACCATAGAGATATAGATAGATAGTGGATAGATATTTCAAGTGAAAGTCCTCCTGAAGTCTATAAATTACATATTGATTCAGATAAAAATGACTCCAGTAACTATCTACAAAACCTTTCGCAAATACATCAATTGAAGACAGAAAACAGAATTTCTTACAAAAATAACGTAAAACTGTATCTAGTTGTAAACCAAAGCAGAAGTTGGATGCAGTACAGAACATTATAAATTTTCTAATCTCATTCAAAAAACCAATTTGGACCTTCTGCAGATGAGTGAAATTCTATAGCCATTCAAATATTGTCCAATATGAATATCTATTTCAATAAATGTAAAAATGAAAAAAGTAGTTTTTTATATAATTTTTATACATAAAGGTTTAGATATGATATTATTCTTTTATTGATTCATTTTAGGTTAAGTGTGGAGGATATTAAAGATCCAGAAGCATAATTAGCCATAAATTATGCCATCAATACTACTGCTGTCCAAAACATATCTGTAATTTTAAGTTAAAAGTTTGTAGATTGTGTTTGAATATTGGAAATTTTTGAAGGTATACAGTGTGTCCAGATTTGTGTGCAGTTTGCGATTTTATCTATTTTGGTTGTTCAAGAGGTTTCAACTCCTGGACTTTTTATTTTGGATTTTGAGAGCTTCTCATATTTCAAAACCAATAAGGTATTGCACTTATTGGAAAATATAATTTTTATTTCCTAGTAATGTACCAAAACTAAGAAGCTTGTGCGATACATAAATGGTTTTGAGATATCAGGTCTTAAAATCCAACATAAAAAATTCACGTCCTTATTTGAAAAACAAAGTTAATAATGGTGACAAAGCGAAATTTTCTTAAAAATTTCTCAAAATGACCTAAATTCAATTCTGTGAAAATTCAATTTGATGTTGTGAAACTTACCCCATTTCACCTTTGTTCTATTTCTAACAGTTTCTGAGATTGCAATACACCTGGCACACATTATGTAGTTATTTCCCAACATTTTATTTTTTAAATAAAGTTACTTATTACGCATATTTTTTTAATAATTTTTACAATAGATTTCATAAGATTACAATAACTAAAGAACTATTTTTTGTACTTTTAACTGAACAGCATTGCTTGATAATTTTTAATGAATTTAATTTTACATCAAATCTATCTAAAAACGATTACTGGAAACATCCTATATTTTAATTTAGCTCCATTTTAAATGTGCACATGCTAGCAAGGCACCATTTGTAAAAAGTAGGAAGCCAAGTTCATTGGCGGGCGAGAGTTAACTCGTTTTGACGAACCCTTAAACAATCAAAAAGTACTTACAGCGGCGTCGACGTTGGCAGGCGACTCGTCGTTGGGATCGGCTAACATTGAAATAACGGATATTAAAATAGTCTCTACAGTATGAACTGGCAGCCACCGTTCTGAAGCTTTTTCGTAGCCGAATTTGTCGTCGCCAGGTTCGTGCAGGATCGATATGCACACGTAGCCGTTTTTATCAACTGTGGACGAAATACGGGTGCGTCGGGAATAATAAAACGGAAAAAACGGTACACAGACTTACTGTTGGGATGCCAAATTTCTGTGACGAATTTCATATTTGGCGGCCTAAGTGGATATTCTTTAGGGAAGTGGAGGTGGCATTTAAAGAAACCCCCTTCACTGTAAGCGAAACTATCTGTTAAAATTCCGTGATAAATAAATTTGTTTCTGACTTATCTTGACATAACCTCATTTTCACATGAGATCAATACATTATAATACATGTGCATTTTTTTAGCCTTTGGAACATTTCGAACTTACTTCAAAACATATCAAAACTTACTATAATGTGTCAGGGGGTCCAATAATAAGTACTTCCCATCGGTAAATATCGTTATCGTCTATGAGTCCCGCAGAAAAACCCTCGACGGGGTTTTTGTTTAGTTCTGAAACAGAAAATGCCGTAACATATACTTTCTTACTCTCAAGGTCAATGAAATTTTTAATACAAAAGGCCGAACAAAGGCCTTACAATTAAATAATTGTAGTAAATGAATTTCTAATGAACGTTGCAACATTCTGTTCTTTGTCGCTACATTGATCATTTTTAAGACTTGTTTTGTGCTTATTTTTAACATTTACACAACTTTTGGCGATGATGCGTCGGCTTAGTTGCAACTTTCACCAAACTTTCGGCATAATTACACCTTGTTCGTTAAAATATTGCATCCGCACATTTGACAACCCAAAAAAAAACTTCATATTGATTTTCCCGAAAAGGAGATGATAAAATAACCCTTCAACCGAAAGCACACCATAGCAAACGTTCCCGTGCGCTAAATACCCGCAAATTACTGAAAGGGACGAAACGTTCGCTTGAAAAAGTAAAATTTTTGTAATGCCGTTTCGGATGTCAATTGATTATTTGTTCCCACGGTCGTTAACGGGCCCCTCGGCACATAAATCCGATCCTTCTTTACTAACCTGCTAGTTGTTTTCTAAGTAACAAGGCTGACTGTGGCTCTGACATTAATTACGGGGTTAATTTTGAAGTTGGATTCTAATCAGACACTTCTTGAAAAAGATGGCCGGTGCCTATTTTATTGTAGTACGAAATGCTATGACAGCAGTGCTTGCACTACACACCGAGCGACAAACATATGTTAAATTCTCAAAGGTTTGCGCCTTGGCTAAATGTCAACTGCTGCCGCCATCTCGTCGACGATGAACGCTACTGCACTTTTCTTGATGCTTTTTCTATAGTCACCTTTTTTAATGTAGCAACGACAGTGTAGAACAAAATTTAAAATCTGTTCAACAGCTTTTGTTCTCTATTAGATTATTAGATTAAAAATGGAAAAATTAATTGCACGCGTAATGATTATCACGTGATATTGTGGTTGGTCCATCTATGGCTCAGAGGTTTGAGTTGATTAATCGGTTTTACTCAATCTCTCTCAGATGGCGCCTCAGTGCGGCCGACGAAAACCGTTTAAAATTATTTAAATAAATATTTACAAATTTCATTTCGCGTCACAATTTTACACGTCCTAAGCAAGCGTTCAATACGTTGTCGTGTACTAAATGCAGCCAAAGCAATAGAAAGATGTCTCTTGGTTATTACGAAGTTCCTAATTACAAGTTCCATTTTCCTAGCGGCTCCGGCATGGGAGTAAGTACCTACATTGGGTATTTTATCAGGAATTAGTAGGGAAAAATGTTATTTAGATTTATGCCGCTCTTGCTCTCCCCCTAACTGACCTGCCCAACATAGATGTCTTCTTGGCGTTCTTTTTGGAAGCCTTCTATTCTCTGCCCTTCAACGAAACATCTTACGAATACCCGCCACTGGTATCCAGACGCAGCTTCACCAGAAAGTCGTTTTACCAATCGTTGGAAAGCAAACTGGACGCGTAAGTTTCACCCTCGTAATAACTAATCAGTAACATTAATTTTGCAGACGGGGATATCCGGGAAAGATGTGCCTCTTGCGAAGCATATGCGAAGCTTCCATGCATACCGTGCAGCATTCCAGCGGCGTTTTGGGCGATCTTCTGCATTTGGTGTTGACGTAAGTGACTTCTGCCGTGTGGATTCGATTTTTTTAAAGTTAATTTCCAGACCGTCGGCTTCAATAGATCCCGACCAGGATTATTTTGCAGACTACGAAAAGGCGGAACTAGACGGTTTGGATAAGCAGGATTGTTCGGACTACAACGACTGCCCGGTCAGCATTTTAGATTTGATGGGATTCGTGCAGTAATGGCGGTCTAAAGATAAATACAGCTGTATTTGAAATTGATAATTCATTTTGAATAAACATGTTTTATTGTGGAAAAGTTTTAAAAAAGTACCGAACTAACCGACTAAACGTGGAAGGAAACATTGTTTTTAACCATATAGCTGTTCGAATATGTATTTCCGTAGGGATGGGAATGATTTTCAGCGCATGTCTTCAAATTTCACCCACTAACCTGCATTTTGCGCTTTTTAATTTATAATCAGCGATTTTCACACACTTAATTCGTTTGGCCAGAACATTTGAGGAGATATGGGCATATTTTGACAACAAAATTGCTACATCTATACTAAAACCTGTCACATTGGCAAACTGTCAGCGGCTATGTTGGTTGTTTAGCGCCGTATTTGTAAATAAAAGACGCTTTCGTGACTTGGAATTTTTATTTAATTTACTTTTATACAAACGTCAACATTTATACCAACGACCGTTTATTTTATCGCGATAAATATTCCTTGGAAACATTAAAACATGTTCGTCGACAGTAATACAGAGGAACAGAAAACGATGAACCGCGAAATCAACGTGATAGGATTTAGCGACGAATTACAAAATACCCTGTGAATTAGCCGCAACGAGGACAGAAAAGGGCGATTTTATTTTTTTGGCGTAGTTCGTTTGATCTCTGGTCGATACCGACCGAGCTCGTCGCTAAACCGTAATGCGCAAAATCCCAAAATCCACTTGCAATGATGATGATAATTACACGCGAACGTTTAAATTGAATTACCAGGGTAGGTCAATAATTATTTACAAAATTTACACATTCGTTTTTACGCTAATTTATATTTAACAACCGTGTGAAAAAAATCGCGCTACAATGATATGTTTGTAAATCAATCTTAAATAACGCAACCAGTAATTTAGAATTTCGCGGAATACATGTTATGTATAAGAAAACTGGAGATAAAAAAATAATGTTTGCCTAGTGACTAACGATCGCTTCACATTTCCGTGTTCCCTTCCGATACATCTTCGTTTTCGGGCTCCTCTGGCAGCGTGTAAACACCGGTCATAATTACACTGCCTTCCACCACTTCCGGCATTTTGGAATTCAAATTAATCGGTATCATCTCATGACTCATCTCTGAAAAGAATCAACGTTAGGCATCGCTTCAGCTGAACACAATTTTTCTTTCTCGATTTTCAAAGTGGAGTTAGTAGGAGCTGCGAAAAATCTAAACGGCAGTGACGACCTTATGAAATAGTTTGTTTACTAATATGATCGTCACAAGCAATAACACGAAAGATAAAACCCTATGAGTTCTGTTAAAGTTGCGCATAAAAAGTTTATTTCTCATAACCTCAAAATACCGATAACGTATCTTATTACTTTAGGTCTGGGTCTGTACCACGAAGAAAACAAACAATTCATTCTTCAGGTCAGGTTTAACTACCCAAATATAGAGGGCGCCAAGAGCTCCACAGTTATTTTAAAGTGTTCTTAGGCTCTGGACCAGTTTTGCTAGACTAATAATTTGACAATCTTCTATACATATAATTCATTGATCTCTTTTACTACTTATACATGTGACTCAAATCGATTTGAACTGTGATCGAATCCCAGGAAAGGCCACTTTTTGTCGGTATCGAGCTGGACTTCAATCCAATTTCGATTCGGAAAAAAATTGAATTGTATCGAGATTTAAAATTTATTCATGTAAACACGACATTGACACACACAACCAAAAAATCCATCCATACTGTTGGTATTTTTACTTTTATTTCGCTGTAAATTTTTAATGGGAATAACTAAAATATGTTGTCAAATTTCAAAGAGTTAAACTATTTTATGGCAAAAAGTTGCACCCACTGAAAGAGAAAATAAAAGAATTGTCTCTATTAATATTTTTGGATCCCTTTTAGGACAAAATCCACGATTGAGGATAAAACGCGGTTATGATAGATATCTTTATTAAGTATGCGATACATTCATATTGTACATAATATGTGTGGCAACACTGTGCATGAAGCTGCAAGGACAGTGTGTGTTCTGTGACAAGTGAAGAAGAGTGTGTGTGACACCATGAAAATGCAAAGAAAGATGTGTGACGAGTTCTGTCATTATGTTTATGTTTACTCATATATCGCATATTAAAGAAAATAGTCTTTCCGTTCCGATCCACACCCCAACAATCTTCAAAAACACTATACAATTTTTGGTAGTTTTGTGAGTGACCAACCTATAATTGAAGTCGGAGTGCCAGTACTAAGTAGGGTCTCTTCCGTGAGGTTCCTGTGATAGAAGCTGGAGTTTTTGTGGGGGTTAAACTGTCATGAAGTCATATTGTACGGGTCGTTGATGTTCAGATCGTCCGGGAAGCTTGTTGAGTTCATTTTGGGCACAGTTTTCTCTTGATGCTTCAACCTGAGGATATTTTTAGGTTAGTTTTCCACGACTAAAATAAAATTGCTACCAAAATGAATTTGTTGAATGTAAATTTTTGAAAATCTATAACGAAAAAAACACTGCGATATTCTCTCACAAAACTTACTGAAAAAAAAATTATAAGTGGAGATTGGATATCTAGTATTTCGTGGAAAGGTGGATAAGTCAATTTTAATATTTTGGTTACGCAATGGAAATGAATTGGCACTTGAACACTTTTTTCATTTCGAAATATTATTCACAATGTATAATTGGTGACTCAAGTTGAGTCTCCTATTAAAAGTTCTTAAGAACCAAACGTTTTTTTTCAGATTTGGTATATGATCATGCACAGTACGCACATCATGATCGGCCCTTTCAAATCAAAATCCAATGGAACACCATATGTATTAGTATGTACATTAGTAGTATTAATAAACGACTTTGGTGATAAGTCATACGGATACTCGACGTGAATCACCCTTTACATGCCAATGAAGATCGGCTGCTGAGATTCAACACGACTTTTACAATAAGGCGGTGAAACGATAGACTTCTGCTTCTTCTTTCGGTGCCATATCAGGTGCCCCTAACTTTGGCAATCACATTGGCGAGTTGATCACGGTCTTCGGCTAATCTGAATAGTTGTTCGGTACTGCGTATTCCGGTCCAATCGCGGATGTTCTTTAACCATAACATTTGTTTCTTTCCAACACCTCTGCGACCTTCGATTTTGCCTTTCATTATAAGTTGAAGGATTTTGTAGCGGCCCCCTCCAAGAACATGCCCCAGGTACGATACTTTTCGTATTTTGATTGTGTTATACAATTCACGGACGGCACTTGCTTTATTTAAAACTGCTTCGTTGGTCTACAGGGCGGTCCATGGTATTCGGAGCATTCTTCTATGCAACCACATCTCGAATGCTTCCAGGCGATTAATAGCATTGGCCTTGAGAGTCCAAGTCTCAGCACCGTATACCAACACAGACCAAATATAGCATTTGATCATTCTTTGGCGCAATTTGAGGTTTAAGTTATCATTGCAGAAGAATGGTTTCATTTTCATAAAAGTTGTGCGAGCTGTTTCTATTCTGCATTTGATTTCTTTATCTGGATCTAGTTACTCTGTGATATATCATCCAAGATATCTGTAATAGGTAACTCTCTCAATGTTTTGCTGGTCTATATGTAGGGATGCATCGGCATGTGGCTGGCGACTGAATACCATAAATTTTGTTTTAGCGACATTCATTTTTAGAACCATGTTCTGTCCTGTCGTCTTTATCTTGTGGAGCCTCTTTGAAAATAACATCTGAGTAAAGATTGAATAATAGCGGGGAGAGAATGCATCCCTGCCTGGCACCTCGCTGAATGCAACATTCGTGGGTTAATCTTCCATCGAATCGTACCACTGCTTTTTGGTTCCAGTACAAGTTCTCTATGATACGTAGATCTTTACCATCGATACCTGAGGTCCTTAATATATTAAAAAGCTTATCGTGTTGAACCCTATCAAATGCTTTTTCGTAGTCGATAAAAGCCGCATAGATGTCTTTACGTTGGTCACGACACTTTTTTAGGAGGACATTTAGGTGCCTCGCGGGTTCCAAGTGCGTTTCTAAAACCAAATTGGGTTTCGTCTATATCCCTTTCGCACCGGCCTCTTATTCTTCCATGTATTATGCGAAGGAAGATCTTAAGTGTGTGGCTCATGAGACTAATTAACCTGTATTCATCGCATCTCTTCGCCTGTTGTTTTTTCGGAAGGTCTATAAAAACAGACTTCAACCATTTCTCGGGTATTTTACCAGTATCATATACAGTGTTGAAAAACTTAGTTAAGGCACTGATGTGGTTTTCGTGGATCATCTGCAAGGGCTCTGTTGGAATGTTGTCTGATCCCGTAGGTTTCTTGAGTTTGGCTGTTTTTATAGCATGTAGAACTTCCGATTTCAAGATTTCTGGCCCTTCACTTTGATTTACATAATCTTGTATATTTGGCCTGTCGTCTTCAAACATTTCGGTTACGTATTTACTCCATATCTCAAGGAGTTCTTGTTCATCAATAATAGTTTTTCCTGTATTATCCACTATAGTATTAGCAGCATTTTTATTATATAAGCCAGCAACTTCCCTAACTTTCTTGTACATGTTGAGCATATCATGTTTTTTTTCAAATTCTTACATTTCAGAACATCTATCCGTCATCCACTTCTCCTTAGCCGCTCGTATTTTTTGTTTTATTTCTCTTTGTTTCCTTTTGTATTCTACTGCTTTGTTCTTGTATTGTCTTCTTTGTTCCATAAGGTCCAATATTTCTTCAGTCATCCATTTTTGTTTCTTGTGCCTATTTGTTACTCTATGTGCTTCTAATATCTTGGTCATATGTTCACGGAATAATTCTCATGTTTCTTCAACATTTTCTGTAGTTCTCATTTCTCTCATGTAATCATTAACATCTTTTTCAATTTTACTTTTGTTGACGTCTGAAATACTGTAATTATTTTGCTGGTGTTTCTTCTCTATCCTTTTTAACTTAAGTCTTACGTCGGAGACTAAAGGGTTGTGGTCAGATCCAATATCTGCGCTAGGGTATGTTGTAACTCTGTTGATGGAGTTCCTGAATCTTTTGTTGACAAGAATATGGTCTATTTGATTTCTCACTATATGTGTTGGGTTATCTCCAGCGGCTCTCCAAGTATATAGCCTGCGTTGATGTACCTTATAACATGTGTATTCTTGGCAAAAATCAAACAACCTGTCCCCTCGTGCATTACTCTCTCCTAGACCATATTCCCCAACCAGATCTGATCTTTTGCCTTTGCCAATTTTGTACTACACTAAGTTGCTTATATAGGTTTTCCACCTCGTTATCATGTTGTTTTTCTGACGTAGGAGCATATACCTGTACTAGGTTGATGTTAAATGGAGATGCGTTTAGTTGTACTAATAGTATCCTGTCGCTTATTGGAACAAAATTAAGTACATGCTTCGCAATTTCTGGTGTTACACATAATACAATATACCGTCTTCATGTCTACAGGTTCCCGAACCACGCCATCGTATTTCACTTATACCCATGATAGACAGCTTCAAGCGTTTGGTTTCTTGAACAAGATTTTCAAATTTTCCGGCAGTATAGAGGCTTCTAACATTCCATGTGCCTATCTGCATTCTAGATTTTGATATTTTGAGCCGGGGGATTCTTAGCACCTCTTGCCCATCTAAGGGTTGCCCGGGACTAGGGGCCGTGTTTTTCATTTTCCTCGCCATAGCAATATCCTGGGAAATATTAACGGTGTGGTTTCCTGTTGCCTTCACCGTTGGAAAGGATATAGGTAGGGTTAAATGGGAAAATGGGTAGGACGAAGGGTTGGCTCATGATTTCCTCGAATGGGGTGGGAGGTGGGAGAAAATCAAGAGCTCGCGTGGGCAGGGGTGCTAAGGCCCTGAAGTAAATCTGCTCTCTGCTGGACTTGCAGAAAGGTATCTACCCGCTACCTACGATAGACTGGTATTTAATATTTCAAAAGCAACAAATTAAAAGACACAATATTCGCGAAAACGTAAGCATTCATCATTAGTCTCGGAATTAGTGTGTGAAATCATTTTTTTTATAAAGTGATATTTAGATAATTGCTGATTAATGCGATAATATACAATATAATATATAAAATATACACTTAATTTTTTTTTTCAAAAGGTGGGAAAAAGTATTATCATTAATAATTCTATAAAATTTCAAAACGGACGTAAACATAATATTTTTGAAATCTTTCTTTTAAACTTTTAGTTTTTAAGTTTAAATTTTTTTTTTTGATAGAAATGGGCATGATTATTTTGATAATAATTCTTAATTTTCTGTAGACAAAAAATCTGTATGAGCTTAAAAATGCAAAGGGAGTTTGTTGATGTCAACAAACGAAGGCAGGATGATGTCCCGGAATTTTTCATTCTTGAATCATTAGTTGAGTGAACACTACAAAAAATGCAAATTTGTTGTAGGGTTTACTCTTATGTTGGATTAAAAAAAATTAAAAATAGTTTATGATTTCTACAAGATTTCGTGCATTTCACAGATAACAAAGTTTTCAAAGATTTGACCGATTTCATAGAGCTGGTACACACATGTCACACGTGATTTACCTCTCGGGTGAGTATTACTGAAATGGTTTTTTTATAAGCCTATACGGAAACAATAATGCAACATTTAAAAGGTCTGATCATGCTTATTCAAGTGCTTCTTAAAATTTAATTTTATATTACTTAAAAATGATTGCAAATATGTTCTTCAGACGGCTTATTAAAAATATATATAAAATTTTAAAAATACCTACGCACCACCTCTTTATGAATTTCTAGATCATATTTGAATAATATAAAACAATTAAAGATTTTTTTCCTCCTTCGCCTCTATTTAATATTGGGAATGCTCATACTTTAGCGTTGTACGGCCTTGTGATGTGGGTGTTGTGCGAACCTGTCCAATTGACAGTCATTGCTAGACTAACCTCCGCCATTATACTCACCTATGTACTATTTCGTCGTGTACCACGTTAAACGACATGGCGGTCAGTGCCATACCGGACATTATGTAGATCGAGCAGAACCACATGGTCGTGCTAGAATCGTGCTCGGGAAACGGATCCGATCCGGGTACCATATTTCCGAACCCGATGGTCGTCAGGCTCATAAAACAGAAGTAGAACCCATCCAAAAGCGACCAATTTTCCAATTTGTACAACACGAACGTCCCTATACAGATGTAGATAAACATCATCACCAGACAGAGGAGAATGGGCGCCAAAATTCCCCAGCCATGTATCGACGATTTGGATTCGTTATCGGTACCGCTCAGACTGTCCATTTCTTTGCCGTTGCTGTCCCGACACGGGGAGTGCACGCTGTTGCTATAGCTCGAGTTGGATCTGACGTAGAACGGTTCTTGTAGTCCAAGCTGCTGTTGTAGCTCGAGTTGCTGGCGTTTTCGTTTCATCCGGCGCTCTTTTTCAGCCATGCGTTTTTCGTCGTAGCAGCAGTAGCCGCAGTTGGAGCACAAGCAGCAGCATAGCGCTCTAGAAAACACGCCTCTGGCCACACGGCTGAGTATAGTACCTACGCTAGAAAGGTAAAGTAGGGTGAGCGGTATGCCCAGCATCGCGTAGCCCATGGTGACGGTTTTTCCCAGATTCGTTTTCGGTGCTATGCTACCGTAACCTGCAACGAACAATTAAAATCATTTAAAAAATGAAGAAATTACGCAGAACTGTTATAAATTAAAGTTGTTAATGTATCTATAAACTAAATCATCGCTGCAAGGCTTTAGAACATGTTCCAAGTTTGATAGATCTTTGTCAAAGCTTTGTTGTGCCTAGTGGACCGTCTAAAGTTTTCTTACCAACCAACTTATGATGTGGCATGGAATTTGTCTGGACGCACACATAGAGTTATACATCGTTCCAGGATGCTCTTTTACTGCTATTGGTAAATTGAAAAACATGTTGGAGATTTTTTATTCCCTTGTTCCTTATGTTGATTTTATTGGAGATAATAATTTTATATAATTTTATTCTAGCGGATGATTGTCGCGAACATTGAATTACATTTTCTTCAATGATAGGATTATTTTGTAATCTCGCCACAGTGCGGCGAGTCGTCAAGGAGCCATCCTAAGAAACCCAAAACAAAAAATTACTCTGGAAAACCAAGGAGTATACAGTGTAGCATGCGGATCGTGCAGCCTGACGTATGTGGGACAGACCAACAGAAGGATTTCAGCCAGGCTCGAGGAACATCGCCATAAGAAACAAACAAACAACATCTGCTTTGTTTCAGCACCAACATCAGACAGGCCATATAATTGATTTCGGCACTTGCAAACAAATAGCTAATATTCCTGATTTTAGGACCAGGATTATATATATATATATATATATATATATATATATATATATATATATATATATATATATATATATATATATATATATATATATATATATATATATATATATATATACAGTGTGTCCAAGATAAGGATGCACAGCATGGGGATCTCGGAAACTATAAGAGATACAGTGTCGGTTAAATTAGACAAAAGTTGCGCATTTTGATACCGAACAAGATCCCGTTTTACAAATTTGAAAATTCCAAGCCGTTCCGGAAATATCCGAGAAAAACCGAAATATTGCGATTTCGTTTTTATTATTTTTTAAAGCTATTTGAAAAGATATGAAAAAACGGAAAACACTTTTCCATTGGCACTTTTTAATCTCTCCAAATTGACGTTAACAAATTTTCATTACAGCGTTTCTATTCCATGGAACCACCATCAACTTTGATTTTTCTTATGGGACGGAAAAAAAGTACACACAGTATTAGGTTGTGCTTTTCATTGCGAATTCAACGACCTCTGTCCTTGTTCAGTGCCTTATTCCCTCTCTTAACAATTTCTAAGCTTTCGTAGGCATCTAATTTTCTACTATTATTTACATGTTTAACTAATTTTAAATTACTTATATCTACCTTATGAATATTGTTGAACATATGTTCGGCTACACTTGATTTTTCTAATCTACCAAATTTTAAATGAGCTAAATGTTCCTTAAATTTAACATTAATTGATCTTTTGGTTTTCCCTACATACGACTTGTCACAATCGTTACAACATATTTCATAAAATTCCCGACTTTTCAAGGGTATCTAGTTTATCCTGGGGATTACCCAAGAGATTTTTTAATTTTGATCCGGACTAATAGACACTTCGAAGACCTGCGGCCCTGAAGACTCTATCAAGTCCACTTGTATATGTGGGAGAGAAAGGAATTGAGACTACTTTTAAATTTTCTTTATCAGCTTGAAAAGTCGTTGATTTTTGAAGTTTGTTTTTAAATCTAAATTTCCTAATTAACTTATCGAGTTTTAATTTTCTCCTGAAGATGCCAACTTGGTTGGCGAAATGCGCGTCGATGACGTAAAATTGAGTTTCGGATTGTGATAAAACGCGTTATTGTGTGTGCAGTGCCGAAGGTTCCAGTCAAGAGTTTGATTATGGTTGAAATTAGTCTTCCTTCAACACCTCGCTCTATCAAAGTCCGCCTCACCACATATTTTGGAAGTTTGTCAAAAGCTTTCTCCAGGTCTAGGAAAGCTAGATAGATCTCTGTATTGCTGTTTTGTGCCTTCTCCATAATTTGCTTGATACTGAAGATGTGGTCATGTATGCTTCTTCCTTTCCTGAATCCGCTTTGAGATTGCTCTAGTTGTAAGTTCCAGGATATTAGAAAGTTTTTCTTGTAAGACTCGCTGATACACTTTCGATGGTATGCTCAATAATGTTATCCCTCCATAGTTACTACAATCTCTTTTATCCCATTTGTTAAATATTGGCACAATGACTCCGATTTTCCAATCCTCGGGCACCCTTTCCTCTTGCCACGCTAGGTCGCATATTCTTGTTAGCGCCCGACATCCCACTTCACCCATATTTTTCAGCATCTCTCCAGTGATTTCATCGTGCCTTTTTTTAGCTTACTTAGAGCGCATTTTATATCGTCCATCCTTATGTAGTCGTTCTTGCTCGTGTCGCCAGTGCCCTGCTCGATTTCATCATCTTCTTTATTGCTGTTATTCAATAAATTTTGGAAATATGTTCTCCACCTGTCGATTATATCGTTCTCGTTGTCCAGTATCTTTACATTTATGTCTTTTATTTGTTTTATAGTTCCGAGCTTATCCTTATATTTTTTAGCGTTTTGTAGAACAATTTTTGGTTGCTACAAAGTCCGATTCGATTGTATTTCCAAAATCTTCCCATGGTTTTCTCTTCGCTTTCAATATCTGTTCCTTAACTTTTTCTTTTTGTATTTTATATTCCTGATATCTGTTGTTGTTTTTGGTTGCTTGATATTTTTTCCATTTTTGTTTTTTTATTCTAATTTCTTTTTTGACATTCGCATTCCACCATGCTGTGTTTTTATGTCCCTGTTTATTTTTGTTACTCCACGTACTTTTGTGCTTGTTTTAAGTATCGTACTTTTGAAAAATCCCACAGTTGCTCTAGGTTGTTGGTTTTTATATCACACATACACATCCTTACATTCATTTTATTTTGGAATTCCTCTGCTATCTCTTTGATGCCAACTTTATAGGATCTAATTGATTCTTTTGTGTTTTTATTTTGTATGGTGTGTTTTGGGTGGGCTTTGGGTATTCCTAGGGAGGTTTCTCCAACCAACATGTAGTGGTCACTACCTATCTCAGCTCCTTTTCTAACCCTGACGTCCGTCATTTCTGCATTCTTTATTTACAATGATATTGTCAATTATCGATTTTTCATTCCTACTGATTACTTCTCTAGTGTATTTATCAACATCTTTGTGGCTAAAAAACGTGTTCATCACTAGCGGGTCATTCTGGATGCAAAAGTCAATAATTCTCAGACCGTTATTATTTCTGCTGCTTTCTCCTTGTCTTCCTATAACTTCTCTGCTAACTAACTGCTCATTCTTAATTCCGACTCTCCCATCCAAATCTCCCATAATGACAATTTTTTCCTTGAAGCTTTCTACTATTTCTGTTATCTCCTCCCAAAATGTGTCTTTAACTTTGGCATCTTCGTTGTGTCCCCATATAGTATTAATAGTTAATTAATATGTTTATTATGTTGTTTGCGGCAGGTGTCAGTTCAATTTTTAGGATTCTTTCTGATATCGCTTGCCATTTGGTTAGGTACCTCGATATTCTGTTTAATTAAATATCCAACGCCTCCCATAGCTCTCTAGTTGCTATTTATTGCGCTTAGTATCATACCTACTGTTTTTGCCGGTGATCTGTTTGTCCTTTTGCTCCTTTGAAAATCATTCTTCTTCCCTTCTCTTTCTTTTCGACTGTTCATCCGTAGAATAATCATCACTATCGCGATCGCAAGATTCCATTTCGCTTCTACTCCGGTTCTGTCCTCAAATTTGCACGTGCTGCGAAAAAAGAATCGCCCGCTTCTACCGCTCGGAGGCTTATCTCTTATCAGCGCATCGAATTTCTTTTGTTTACTGTAGATTTATTTGTATTAATTCGTTATTTTTACATACGCACTTTGAATTTTCGCTTCTATTTACAGTTTCGGTTTTGGTTGCCCTTTATGCACAAATTTTAGTAAAGTAGCCCGAATAATCGAGTTTTAATACAGAGCGATATTATACGCGTGTACTTTCGGCAGACCGGCAGCACCGATGTATTGTTGATCGTCCTCATACATTGCCAAAAAACACAGTGACAATAAGTCTGCAGTTAATCATTGCAAAAGTGATGCAAAATTTTAATGAAATAGAAGCTGAATCTGTCTGCTGCCGCTATGAATTCTCAACTCGCATTTAAACTCAGCAGTCGAGGTAATTAATATTACAACCATGTAATTTATACAAAAAGATGAAGTCTCACCGAACTCTGCGACCCCGCAGAACTGAGGTTTAACTCTGAACTTGGTTGGTTCCGTCTGCGACGAGTTTGCAAGTTTAATTAATCTTCAAGTATGTGTGCGAGTTTTAAAGAAATTGTTCGGGAACCTTTCTAAGATGTAAACATGGTTAAAGTTAGACAAAATGATCGGCCATAAATGAGGTAGTTTTTACACTAACGTCGGCCGGAAGATTCATACGAACTAAATCGAAATGTTTCTCCCTAATTCGGGAGTTGAGGATCGTTTAAAACGCGTTCGGAGGGTGGGCGACGCGCCAGTTTGTTTTTATGCGGCGATGTTCTTAAAAGCAAAGTTTCACAACGAAGTTAGTTTCGAACGCGAATTGCCGAATCTTCATTTCGTCTTCGGCCGACTAAAATGTTCGCAGTTCTCGAAATTTAGAGAAGCAAATCCTACTCCATTAGTTGGCGTGGTCAAAACGCTCAGTTCTAGTCCGTATACACGGTATTATTGAGATGATAATAATAACAATAATAATATTTATTTTCCCGAAGACAACCACAAAGTGGTATAGGAATAGTCAAAATACATGATAGGTGCAATATACATAGACATATAAAAAACATTTACTCAAAAAAATTCGTCTAGACTATGAAATGTTTTGGTTAACAAAAATATTTTGAATTGCTTTTTGAATAGACAAGATTTTAAATTTTGGTCTCTGTTTTCCAATGGCAGATTTTTAAAAATACGAACACCTAAATAATCAGTTGACCTCGAAGTCGTTCACAGCCTACGG